AGTCACCATTCTAGACCGTGAAAGTAGATGGTTCGAACGAGGGGTCAAGGAAGCTGTGCACATCAGGTCCCGCTCCCCGTCCCTCAACCGTGACCAAGGACGCCACAGGCTCCCACCAATCTACAACTCCCTCGTCCAGTCACGTGATCTGGGTGACCTTTGACACCTAGGTCACGTGACCCCTCTTTCGAGCTGAAGAAAGATGGCGGATGCCACCTGAAAGCTTCTACTAGAACAATTTATGTCGTGCGTATCAGTTTAATTCCTTCTCTAAATACATCCATATTTGCATAATTGTCACAAAATTATATTAAGCATCACGTAAGCTACCTACATACCAAAAATCACGACGATCCGTCAACCGGTTCTTGAGTTATCCCCTTTTGAATATTTTCAAGAATTTATCCCTGCAGTTCCAGAGCAAGCCGCTAGGGGGCCTAAACTCACGTCACTTCTTCCCCAGCACAAGAGCTACCTACCATCTAAATTTTATCATTATAGCATGTCTAGATCATGAGATATCAAAACCGGAAGTTCAGCTGCAGTACCATAACAAGCCGCTAGGGGGTCCAAAATCTAATCATTTTGAGGTCTCATCAAGACCTACCCACCTACCAAGTATCAAGACAATCCATCAAGGCCTTCTCAAGTTATCGTGTTTACAGACAGACAGACACACACACACACACACACACACACATACACGAACGCCCCTGAAAACATAACCTTCTTGGCGAAGGTAATAAAACCGATAACCAAATACACCCCATAAAACCCTACAAACCCTCTCGCGGGATATCACACCCAATTTTTCCGTTCATCAAAATGGTTCCGTCCACCCCCAATTATGCATACATTACCCGCCAATCGATATATGTCAATCATATTTCTCAATACTGTTCTTAATTATGCACGCATCAGAATTATGAATACAATTAAACCGATTAATGACTCTCATTGTTTAACTCATTAACTAAAATCCTAGCATAAATATGCATAAATCTTTCATGGAGCGTTGCCTGGACGACAGGTAACACAGGTAGCCGGGTTCAAACAAAAATGTTATTCACCACTAGCTCACTTACTCCGGAGTAATCATATGCTCCGACGGTTATGCATATGCATATTTATACACATCATGCATGTGAGGATACACGATACTGACAGCCATGACAAATATACGTACTTGCTACAAATACACTTACTCCGGAGTAAAAATTGTACTCCAAAACGGAGTAATAGTTACTCCGGAGTAATATCTTACTCCAAACATACTTACTCCGGAGTAATGTTTTACTCCGGAGCAACACGTTTATATCGATATATGTATACACACGCATACATACACATACATACACATACATACACACACCAGTGAAGACTTGTGCTTCTGCTGCTGCTTCTTCTGCTGATACGCCATGGCTTTTTTTGTCTCGATCTTCACTTGCTGTCGACGGATTTGTACGAAAGGTTTGTCTCCGCAAGTGGCACTGGTTTCTCGCCGGTTTCTGTTGCCACTTTATACACTTTTCTGACCACCGTCCACAGAGCCCCAACCAATCGCTGCACAGTACGTCACCTACTTCGCATGCAAAGTACATGCAAACCAATCCACTACCCCGGATCCACCAACGCTTGCCGTGCGGCCAATCAGCTACTACAGAGGTTGACGTTAACCACGCCCACGACAGGTTACCCAGGTAACCGGGTTCAAAAGTGCACACTGACCTTTATCTGACCTGTAATTTAGTTCATTAGCTACATTCCTGCATGCATCTGCATATCCTTAACATAAATCTGCATACTCGTTAACATAATGACGGTGACCTCTGACCTGCTCCGCCGTGCTCCGCCTGCTCCGCCTGAATACATGATAGCAGCGTGTCGACTATATACTACTTGTTTGCCTGTGTTAGTGGGTATTTGAATGCAGTAAAGTGACAGGAAGAGGGAGGGGCTGGTTACCGCAGATTGACCTTAAGGTTAAGTTGGAAGGACTTGATAACTGGCAGCTATAGGAGGAAGTGATGTCTCTACCCACACAAGTCACCCACTTAGGTCCTGTTTACAACAAGATCTCTGTCCATTTAGGCCCGTTGGAAGACAGCAGACCATCTGATTGTTCCAATGAATTCAGAAAACTCTAGATACTATCACGAATCTCCTGAAACGTGAATGTCATCTGACTGTATCTTTTCTGTTTCAGATCGTTTTTGTGTCTGGGTTGCTTGATGTCAAGGTCAATGCTGACAAACCAGTCGAGGAGTCCAAACTCAGGAGAGGGGAACAACATGTACCGGGCTCAGTCTGGGACTGAGTTTGTACTGTATAATACTGCCGGATAATTTAATAGTAACTGTTGTGTTCACAATGATGAAATCATGCAGTATCTATGATAATTTATGTTAAGTCTCTTGTGAATAAAGTCACGTGTTTGTAAACCGTAACTCTCGTGAGATCACGTTGTGAAGTGACTGGTCATTAATTATCCTGATGAAGGCGACAGTGGTCGCTGAAAATTTGATCTCTGTGTAATCTTTGAGTGAGAATAAAGTTCAACGTTTTACTATGATTACTACCAAGTACCAACACAGATGAACTTTCATGATAATCATGTAAAATTTATTTAACGCTTGCGTTAATTTTTGATTTCATGTATTGACATAAATCCGTGCACATTGTAATGAGAGATACGTTACTCACGTAAGAAAAGTAAGGCATGAATTATGTAATAAAAACGTATATATGAGCTATTCTTTCTGATCGATGATCATTAATTTCTTCTATTTGTCTGATTTGTTTTTGTTGTTGTTGTTGTTTGATTATGCTTAGTGCTTCTTTCACTCATTTGCATAATTTATGAGGAAATGCTAGAATAGCCTTTTTTTGTTAAGATAAGGCCGTCATTGGGTGGAGAATATGATCAACTGATGTAATCCATGCAGATGAGGCTCTTATTTGTGAAATCAATGATTAAAATTGTACAATTCGTCAACCGGAAGGGTTAACATCATTTGGCGAAGGTATGAGATCGTGGAACTCTTGTTCTGATTGAGCCATGTCCGGTCCAAAATAGTGGTCCAAAATAGGCAAGTTCCTTGTGAGTTAACAATAACAAGGGAACTTAAACTGGACTACTACATGTAACTGCTTTACACGTCCGGAAATCTAAGATAGGTGAGAGGTCAGCGGGATAAAGTTCAACCATGACGTCACTTCTTGTTTTCTGGTCTCGAACAGTTCGTCATAAGATTAGCTTACATACATCTGGCAAACGTTAACAAGATTAGCAAGTCAAGCTCAGATTTTTGTTCGAGGCAGACATCAAAGACAGGTACTTTGGATTTCACAAGTAAAATCCAGACAAGGTATGGTTTAAATTTATCTATTTTTTTTTTAAATGCTGTTGTGCATAATTTGTTTTTGACGAAAATGAAAGTGCTCGTCACATTCCGATCTGTGCAGGTAATCAACCACAGGACGTTTTGGACGTACAATGTTTGCAGGTTGTGCTCTGGCCTTTTTATTGTAATAATTAATATTTCAGTCAACTTTCATGTACTTTTTTTAATCCCGGTGTACTGTTAAGTTTTACCCCCCCCCCCCCCCACACACACACACACTAC